TGCTGAGTTGTCATATACAAGTGAAGCGGTTGATGATGACGATGCATCCGTGGATGTCACGTGGGTGACCGCTAGAAGAGAAGAAGAACAGGGGGATGGGGAGACAGAGAGGAGGAAGAGGAGACGAGTTGGAAGTAGGGGGAGGTCGTCTCAAGGAGCTAGTGGCACAGTCATACAGCATGCATCGACACCCGGAGTCAGCCAGACAGCACGCCAATCAACGCATGCTGTTGCCACCACCAGAAGGCCGTCATTGCAGAGCTCAGCAGTGTGGCGTTTTTTTTGTGTGTCTGCCTCTGACAACAGCGATGCCATTTGCAACCTGTGCCAAAAGAAACTGAGTCGTGGGAAGTCCAACACCCACCTAGGTACAACTGCTTTGCGAAGGCACATGATCGCACATCACAAACGCCTATGGGATCAACACATGAGTACAAGCAGCACACAAACTCAAAGCCGCCATCCTCCTCCTGGTCCAGCATCTTCAGCCACGTTAACCACTGCTGTCCTCCTTGCCCCCTCTCAACCATCCGCCCCTCCGTCTCTCGCCTTGAGCAGTTCCTGCTCATCTGCCCACAGTCAGGTGTCTGTCAAGGACATGTTTGAGCGTAAGAAGCCAATGTCACAAAGTCACCCCCTTGCCCGGCGTCTGACAGCTGGCTTGACTGAACTCTTAGCCCGCCAGCTTTTACCATACAAGCTGGTGGAGTCTGAGGCATTCAAAAAATTTGTAGCTATTGGGACACCGCAGTGGAAGGTACCCGGACGAAATTTCTTTGCACAAAAGGCAATCCCCAACCTGTACTCGATTGTGCAAAAGGAAGTAATGGCATGTCTGGCACACAGTGTTGGGGCAAGGGTCCATCTGACCACTGATACCTGGTCTGCAAAGCATGGTCAGGGCAGGTATATCACCTACACTGCGCATTGGGTAAACCTGCTGACTGCTGCCAAGCATGGAATGCATGGCTCTGCAGAGGAGTTGGTGACACCGCCACGACTTGCAGGCAGTCCTGCTGCCACCTCCTCTACTCCTCCTACTCCATCCTCTTCCATAACCTCCTCGGCTGAGTCCTCTTCTGCTGCTGCGTCTTGCTCCACATCAACGGCACCCCCCCAGCTCCCCAGGTACTATTCCACATCCCGGATACGGCAGTGTCACGCCGTCTTGGGGTTGACTTGCCTGAAAGCAGAGAGTCACACCGGACCAGCACTCCTGTCCACCCTGAACGCATAGGTGGATCAGTGGCTGACTCCACACCAACTGGAGATCGGCAAAGTGGTTTGTGACAACGGAAGAAATTTGTTGGCGGCATTGCATTTGGGCAAGTTGACACATGTGCCGTGCATGGCACATGTGTGTAATCTGATCGTACAACGCTTTGTGCATAAGTACCCAGGCTTACAGGACGTCCTGAAGCAGGCCAGGAAGGTGTGTGGCCATTTCAGGCGTTCCTACACGGCCATGGCGCACTTTTCAGATATCCAGCGGCGCAAAAACATGCCAGTGAGGCGCTTGATTTGCGACAGCCCGACACGTTGGAATTCAACACTCCTAATGTTCGACCGCCTGCTCCAACAAGAAAAAGCCGTTAACGAGTATTTGTATGACCGGGGTGCTAGGACAGCCTCTGCGGAGCTGGGAATTTTTTTGCCACGTTACTGGACGCTCATGCGCAATGCCTGTAGGCTCATGCGTCCTTTTGAGGAGGTGACAAACCTAGTCAGTTGCACCGAAAGGCACCATCAGCGGCATTATACCATTTGTTTTCTTCCTGGAGCGTGCCCTGCGAAGAGTGCTGGATCAGGCCAAAGATGAGCGTGAAGAGGAAGAGGAAGAGTTGTGGTCACCATCACCACCAGAAACAACCTTATCAGCATTGCTTGCTGGACCTGCAGCAACGCTGGAAGAGGATTGTGAGGAAGAGGAGTCAGAGGAGGAATGTGGCTTTGAGGAGGAGGAAGACCAACCACAATAGGCTTGTTGTCACCTATCTGGTACCCGTGGTGTTGTACGTGGCTGGGAGGAAGAACATACCTTCAGTGAGATCACGAGGAACAGGACATGAGTAGCTCGACATCCAACCTTGTGCAAAAGGGGTCTTTCATGCTGTTGTGCCTGTTGAGGGACCCTCGTATAAAAAGGCTGAAGGAGAACGACCTGTACTGGGTGTCCACGCTACTAGACCCCCGGTATAAGCAGAAAGTGCCTGAAATGTTACAGAATTACGGCAAGTCGGAAAGGATGCAGCAGTTCCAAAATCAATTCAAAAGTATGCTTTACACAGCGTATAAGGGTGATGTCACAGCACAACGGGAATCTAACAGGGGAAGAGGTGAAAGTAATCCTCCTCCTCCCACGACCACGCCGGCAAAGACAGGACGCTTTTTAAGTCCTACGCATCGCCACAGCCCTTCGGGGTCCACCCCAGCAGACTACCTCGCCTTAACTGCAGATATCGACACTCTGAGGAGCGATGAATCCCTTGACTACTGGGTGTGCAGGGTTGACCTGTGGCCTGAGCTATCCCAATTTGCGATAGAACTTCTGGCCTGCCCCGCTTCAAGTGTCCTGTCAGAAAGGACCTTCAGTGCAGCAAGAGGTATTGTCACTGAGAAGAGAAGTCGCCTAGGTCAAAAAAGTCTAGATTACCTCACCTTTATTAAGATGAATGAGGGATGGATCCCGAAGGGACTGACAGTGGGCGATACATTCAACTAAAAAAGGCCAGATGAGGGGGACGTAACAGGGTGTCGCGGCTGCCGGCCTGCCGCGTGATATTTAAATCCCTAGCTCACCCCAGTACCTTGCCCTGTCGTGGTTTTCTGTTCCTGGTTTCCTGAGAGTGCTTTATCATTGTGAATCTGATTTCCTGGTGTCCTGATATTGGCTTTTCCCTGGTTATTCTGAATTCTGGTTTCCCTGACTTGGCTTGTGTAAACGGTATTGTGTATTTTCTGGCTTCCTTGACCTCGACTTTCCCTTGGACCATTCTCTGTCTCTATCATATTAGTCTGGCCATTCTAAGGTCCGGTTTATGCTCTGTCCTTTTATTTTCCTTTTCTTGCCTATGTTTATGTTTACATAGTTTCTGCGTGCTGGACCACACTAGTAGTCGTAACATTGGGATTAAACTGATAAGAATAGTACTACTTAACACACCACTCCTATCTGGTGGCACATTAGATTGCACGCGCAGTGCCCCAAATTTGAAGAAGGAGGACCGACCAAGCATCTTTTTCCATCTCCCGGTTCCTAAAATCGATGCCATATACACAATCGATGCCCTGATAGGGGACGTAACAGGGATTAAACTGATAGGAATAGTACTACTTAACACACCTTATAATAACGCAGAGAGAGGCAACGCAGAGAGAGGAGTCTGAAGAAGAGGAGTCAGAGGAAGGTGGCTTTGAGGAGTGGAAGACCAAACACAGCAGGCGTCCCAGGGGGCTTGTTGTCACCTTTTGGGGACCCTTGGTGTTGTACGTGGTTGGGTGGAGGAAGTGTCACGGTAGTTTACCCCTACACGCAGGATTTAGTTCAACAATCAACAGAGCAGATATGGCTTACCGGACCTTAGAATGGCCAGACTCGCCGTAAAGCAGAGAATAGACAGAGTCAAGAACAAGCCAAGGTCAAGGGAACAAAGAGACAGCGAGAACAAAAACTAGCCAAGGTCTTGTACACAGTAGTCAGTAAATGGCAAACAAGACAAAACAGGGATAGAGAGATAAACGGAGTCAGATACAAAGCCAAGGTCAAGCACGAAAATCACAACTGAACACAACAAGCGCTAAAGTGAACTGAAACAGAAACCACGATAGGGCAGGGAGTTAAGGGAGAGGTAAGTATAAATACCCTAAACTTTACTTTGATTGGCCCCTGTCATATCCACGCCCCCAAAATGTGAGTGTCTGGGGAACGTGGGATGACAGGGGCCAATGGGAGCACATTTCATTTTTTGGCTCCTACTGCCCCTTTAAGAGCGTGCCCGAGACACCTGGTATGCTCTTAGAGCTAGGCAGAACATGTGACCGCATCTTGCGGTCCGTGCCCGCCTGCATTTGGGAGCTGCGTGCAGCGGGAAGTGAGGACCTCGGCCGGCCTCCGGGTAAGGTAAGCACCGCTACAGGAAGAGACCTTCAATGACATCAGTGAGGACAAGGAACGGGACATGGCTAGCTTGGTATCCAACCTTGTGCAAATGGGGAGTTTGCGGTTGTGCAAATGGACTGTTTGCGGTTGTTTGCGGTGCGTTAAACGGGGAGTTTGGTCTGTCACTGTGAAGCGGGCGTAACCCTTACACTACCTGATCGATACAACATCATACCTGATGTTTTAAAGCACGTTATTCCAAACAATTTAGGAATGTTAGGTGATTTATGCCCTTTATGGATTAAAACCAGACTCTGCATCAACTATGTAATTTTCCATGGGAGTTTTGCCATGGATCCCCCACCGGCATGCCACAGTCTAGGTGTTAGTCCCCTTGAAACAACTTTTCCATCACTATTGTGGCCAGAAAGAATCCCTGTGGGTTTTAAAATTTGCCTGCCTATTGATGTCTATTGCGGTTCGCGAACATTTGCGGAAGTTCGCGTTCGACGTTCGCGAAACGACAATTTTTTGTTCGCGACATCACTAATGGCAACTTTTAATTCTTTGTGTGTTATTAGTTTAAGCAGACTGTGATTGTCTATTGTTGTGACTTAGATGATGATCAGATCACATTTTATGACCAATTTGTGAATAAATCCATATCATTCCAAAGGGTTCACATACTTTTTCTTGCAACTGTGTATATATATATATATATATATATATATATATATAATTGCTATTTTCCTTATACTGTATGGTTTTTCACTATTTTGACTTTTTTACCTGTCCCAGCTTTACTCTCGTCTATCACTATACTTTTGTTTTCCTATCTCCAGTTACCCGGGTTAGCAGCAGGCATTTTTCGGCCTCGACTTTCCTAGGCTTTCCAGGTGCCATGGGGAATACCTCCGACGGCCCCTTCTATTGCACAGAAGCCATCTTGGATCTTGCGTGCTACTGCGAGATCCAGGTGGTCATTTCAGACCATGAGCACCTGCGCGAGATCGCGGCGGGCAATTTTTGGAATCCCTCGATCCGCGTACATACTAGCCTCATGGCGGCCATCTTGGAATTTCTGCGCGAGATCGCAGCAATACAAAGTTTATTTTCTGTAAGCCCGCGGTTTGCGTGGGCATCACATAGCCCCCCGGCGGGCTCCACACACTCTTTGTTTTCCTCAGTTAGATTCTATAAAAGATAATGTTTATTCATTAAAGTATCCCCCTCAGGGATACAAAGTGGACTACATGGTAGAGGATTACTTACTATATATATATATATGCACATGCCTTATATTGCTACCTGCAGACTGTATAAGCCTTGGGGTGAGCCCCTATTTATTCTGTCCCTGTATAGGGGTGACTTCCCTCCTTTTATACACAGTATCACTGAGTCTGTTCAGACACCATTTCACTCTTCTGTGAGTTTATCAGGGGTGAACCCCTAGGTGTCATTTAAGATTGCTGTCACTGATACAGCCCCTAATTGGCCCACTCTGTCTGTGCCCCCATACCTCCCTACAGGGTATAGATATATATACACCCAGAGGAATTCTGTACTGGGTGAGCCCCAGTTTTGACGTGCATAACGGATTTTATGACACATATTTGAAAATATAGAAGGCCTTGACATACATATTTCTAACACTGGCCTATTTTGCCCCTTTGGTACCACTTTCTATCTCTATGGATACAACAAACCAGGAACAAAACCTGCAAGCTCTCATTAACGCGGCAGTTGCCGCCTCACTCGAGAAGGCTCGAGTGCTGCCCATAGAGCCTAAGGAAAAAAATATCAACTGAACCCACGCTTTCTGCAGAATATTCAGAGGATTCAAACTCTTCTAGGCGGGATCAGACCGGCACATTAGATACCCCCGGTCATCGGAGTGGTCCATACGGAGCACCTCACCCAGTACATCCACTTCTGGATCAGAATGCCCCTGGATTGTGAGTTTCGCAAGTGTTTGAAAGAAGAATGCCCCAGGCCTACCCTGTCGGACATGGTCACGATGACTCCAGAGTTTGATATGATGCTTTATACTTACTTGGCCAGGACTGGTCGTGACCCTAGATAGGGTATTGAGCACAGTTTACGCCTCACCCAGGACAAGCTGCTGAGTGTACTTGGACCTCTAGCTAATGGTCTCAGGAGGGACCATTAGACCTGTCTGTTATCAGGGAATGGGTGTTACGCTCCATATGCCTGCTTGGCAATGCAAACACACCACTCTGTATGGAGCGAATTAAAGCAGTGCTACTGTGCATGGATGCCAAGCTCTCTGATTTGGGGTCCAAGGAACTAAGCCCCAGGGCCAAGGGTCTTTTGTTTGGATAACCCTATATCAAAGAACTCCACAAACACGTAAATTTGTATGCAACATTGAACAAGGCGCAGTCGTCTATGTGGAGAGTGTTCCACCAACACCCCACACAGGTTTTTGGCAGGGCTGGCCGTACAAGGGGTCGTACAGCCAGCCGTTTCTGGTCGACAGGCCAACGAAGATCCCACACAACATAATTCTTGCCGATTTACCAAACAAGGGGCTTCTACAGCCAAAGGTCGGATAGAGGCAGAGGAAACAGAGCTCGAGACCACAACAGATTTCCAACAGGTGAGATTTCCCACCTTTTACCTTTCTACCTTATGTCATGCGGGCAGGTTATTTCATTGTTTAGACAAGTGGAGGACTCTGTCTTCAGATACCTGGATTCTAGAGAAGGTTCAGGGATACTCGATAGAATATTATTCGCCTCCCGTACAGACAGGTCACCCCCATTGCCCGGTCACGTCGAAAGCAAAACAAACCCTACTTAATATGGAGCTTCAATCCCTCCTTGCAAAAGGAGCTGTACAACTTGCTAAGGACAACTGACACTTCTTCAGTTCTATCTTCCTAGTCAGGAAGAAATCAGGAGAATTCCCCCCGGTTATCCATCTACATCAGCTGAACACCTTCATGGTGTACCGACATTTCAAAATGTATGGCATCCATCTTCTTCCGGACATACTATGATTCACCTGACTTGACCTCAAGGATGCGTATCTGTCCGTGCCGGTGCACCCTGCCAGTCAACGCTTCCTCCGCTTCCTCTGGAAAAATCAGGCCATCTAATTCACGTCTACTATTCGGCCTCAGCTCCACTCCGTGGTGCTTCCCCAAACTGCTCAAACAGGTCACTGCACATATTCACGCCAGAGGCATACGCTGCCTAATCTACCTCGATGACCTATTACTTTTTTGTGAGGACATCTCCAGACTGCGATATCAGATGGGCTATACAACCCAAGTCAGCCCTTTCCCCATGCTTAGTGGTTCAGTTTCTCGGCTTCGAAATCGATGCTTTCACCTGCATCCTCCGCCTTCCACACTCAAAGTTATCGGCAATCCGAAAGGAGCTTTGCAAGGTTTTACGGCGGGAAGATATTCCCCTCCAAGGGTTGGCTCTGATTGTGGGCCTCCTTTCCACCTCCATCCAGGCAATCTATCCAGGACCCCTACATTATCGAGCCATGCAATGCCTGAATGCTCAATTTCTCTGGGTCCACCCATCTTACGATGAGAGGGTCCACTTAAAGCGGAATTCAAGAAGGAACTCCACATGTCAGCTTGGAACGGCAAGGCGATTTTCGGCCCCACTGCGGACTTCATCGTGGAATCAGATGTGAGCCTTCGGGACTGGGGTGCAACTTGTCAGACTGCCTCCACAGGCGGACCTTGGACAGCTACAGAGAATGCATTTCAAATCAATTGCCTGGAACTGATCGCAGGCTCCTTCATGATCCGCAGTTTGGCCAAACATCTCTCGGACTGTTGCATCTTTTTGCAGATGGACAATATATAGGCTGCCCAATACATCAACAGATTGGGTGGGGCCAGGTCTCAAACCCTTTCGGAGGTAACCAAGGACATCTACAGCTTCTGCTTCCAATGCAACATCACTCTACGGGCGGAAATATCTTCGTGGAGTGACAAATGTTAAGGCGGATTGGTACTTCAGACATTGGAGAGACATCAGTGACTGGCGACTTCACAGATCAATCTTCCTTCACATCTCAAGGTGCAGGGGCCCATTCGTGCTGGACCTATTTGCATCACTGACAAACTATCAAGTACCGCAATTCTTAAGCTGGCTCCCAGATCCAGTGCTCGGCAGTGGATGCCTTCCGACAGAGCTGGCCGGCTTTTCCGCCATTTGTGATGATTCCCAGAGTCATCATGAAAATTAGCAGTCAGCAGGTCATGCTAGTGCTCCTCACTCCACTCTGGCAGGGCCAAGCATGGTTTCCAGACCTTCTGGACCTCTCTTGCCAAGACCTGCTTCTCCTGCCACCCTAACAGGACCTCCTGGAGGACCCTCAGGGTCGACCTCATCCGATGATTGAACAAGTCTTGGTGGCTTGGTCTCTTTCCAGGGATCTTGGAACTTCTGAGACATATCGCAGAGATCTAAGGAACTTCTATGGGATTCCTGGGACCCTGGGACCCTGGAACCAGAAGATGTTACCTATCCTTCTGGAACCTTTGGTGCAGTTGGAGCCTAGACAATACATCTTGAACTTCCTATCGCACCTCTTTAATCTGGGCCGGTCGTACTAATCAATCAACGTAGCCCGGTCGGCCATCTCGGCAGCCCATGTCCCGCTACACAGATCTTGGTCAGGACCCGCTGGTCTTCAGACTCTTGCGGGGCATCAAACTAGCTTGCCCTCCAGCACCTAAGTACTCGCACCTCTGGGATGTTAATGTCATGATCTGATTCCTACTGGATTGGACGAATAACAAGAACCTCTCCGACCAACTCTCTGCGAAGTTCACCCTACTGCTTTGTTTGGTGTCTTTTCGATGAGTGTCCGGTTTTTTGGGCATTTGACTGTGCCGGTATCACCTTGTCTCCTGAAGGGGTTACATTTTCACTATCTAGACTCACTAAATCATACACTTCCACAGTGTTCTATCCTTATTTCCCTAACTATCCTAAACTATGTTTTGTCTCGGCTCTTTCTCGTTATTTGTCCATCACTTCGACCCTCCGTTCATCTTCCTCCGGTCAATATTTGGTCTCATTTGTTCACCCACATAATCCAGTTTTGACCACCACTCTAGCACGGTGGATTAGACTGTTACTTTCTCTAGCAGGGATCGAAGCCTCCTTCGGAGCCCACTCCATCAGAAGGGCAGTGGCATCAGGAGCATTCATGGCCGGAGGTTCCCTACAGGACATCCTCCAATCGGCAGATTGGTCCCGGGAAGAGACGTTTTGCAATTTCTATTTTCACCCGTCCGCGCATGCTTCCTTAGCATTACTTGTTGAGGGTTAAAACAGGAAAATACAAAGCCTCCTGTCATGTTATAAAATTGTAGCTTATGCTAGCATTAGTGTACCTATAATCTTAATTTTATTAATGACACGAGGTGAGTATTTTCCCACCCTTTTGTCGTCATCCCCTTTTTAACCTCCTTAGCTGAGTCTCCTGGATGGAGGGGTAAGTACGTCCTGTCCTATTTACAACATATTAAACTAGGGTTGGATGGATGTATACATAATGTTAAATACATCTTTCAGAATATTGATAACATACAGTTTGTTGGCATGCCTTTAGAGGTCCCATTCTTGGATTAATCCTCTGTTTTGACTCTGTTCTCTCATTTCAGCTTAAAGCTCCCTAGAGATGTCAAGCCTAGTTCCAGTTCCTCTCAAATTTGAACTCCTCTCGACTGGTGTGCTGAGATCTTCTTCTAGTTCTGCGGTTTCCTGTTACTTATTCGTTTCGCAGCCAGAAAGAGGAAGTGACATCAGGGGGAGGGAGTTTTATAGACCGTTACTTTTTTTTGATTGGTTATCCTGTTACTATATTAAATGTGCTGCTGTGGAGCTTAAGTTTAGAAAGATTTAAGCAAAATATTCGCCTTCTGTCATTAATCAAATTAAGATTATAGGTACACTAAAGCTAGCATAATCTACCATTTTTAATGAAAGATTTTATTAAGTGCTTTACTCGAAATTATATTTATTTTTTAATTTGTACGTGTGGCAAATACAAAATGTGGGTCGCACTATACATCCATTACACAAAAGGATTGGAAAGCATGTTAATAATATTTTAAAGGTTTCACTCAACACAGTGTATCTGCTCATTTTAAAGAGTGCCATAATATGCATCCTAGAGGTTTAACTTTCCCTGTGATACAAGTGGTAA